ATAATTTTTTCTTGGTGTCTTCCTTTTTAGGCCTGTTCCTGGGGTTATTTGGGGTGCTGATTTAGAAAACTTCATTGCATAGACCACATCAGCTGTATATTATTAAATATAGTGGCTGAGCAGATGCCGATTACTGGACATCATATGTTCTATATCAGAAACTAGAGTTGATGTGGATTATCTAATGCAATTTTCTGAATCAGCACCCCAAATTACCAAACCAAATTTTAAGTTGACCAAAAACTAATTTGTAACCCTGTTGGTACTAATGTTGAAAAGTGGTCCCTGGTCAAAGTGGTCCTTGGTCAAGTGGTCCCTGGTCATGTAGTCTCTGGTCAAAAAAAGGTTCGGAACCACTGGCTTAGAGCAAAGGGATACAGTTGTCTATTTTTTTAGTCCATAATTTGCCCCCAACTCTTCAATCTGGGAATTGGTGCATGGCTTATTACCCACCTAATTTTACAGCAAGAAGTGATCACTCCCTTTTCTCTTTTTATAGATCACTGATGGTTCTTCTATGTCCATTGTATTTCAAATATAAAGATTTAATTTATTCCTTATCAAACTTTTGTCATTCCAGAACAGTAGCAACAACTCCACCCAACAATAATTCTTCAGTATCTCTGTCAGAGTCGTTTCCATTAACCTATTATCTGATCTTTTCAAATGGAGATTCCAGGTGGCATGTACTACATGAATGATATCAGTGTTTCCAGAGAGCTATTCCACTCAAGTGCCTTAAAAAGAGTCAGGAAGTGGCTGTTCTTTTGGTTGAAGATATAATGGGAAGCATAACATCCTACAATATGCTATTAACAGTTCAAAAATATAAATTAATTTGATGTTTAAAGATGCAGAAGTGGATTCCCAAATATTCATTTTGCTGCAATATGGAAACATTTCTACTATAATAAATAATAGGAGCCTGCCTAGTAGAAACAAAGCTAAAGCCTCATTTTTCTAATTCTCTCTCTCTAGCTTTTTACAATATATATTTGCTGTATGTTTTAATACAATACTTATACATCACACTACATCTGACTCAAAAGGGATAACCACTGAACGTGCCCACATCATATACCACAACGATACATAATCTGTTTTATAGTCAGCCCCCCATGTTTGAAGATGTAACCTTTGCAGATTTAATTATTCACAGATTTAATTAGTATTTTTTCTAGGAATCTCTAAGATCTACAGATTGATTCAAGGGTCAGCATTTGCCATAGAATTCTGCTGAAGGACCTTCCCAGACAGAGCACTTTCCAAGGCATTTGTAGGTCCTTCAATATGATTCTGTAGTTGTCTTCTGATGGAGGATAACTAATCATGTTGGAGAACCAAGATATTCCAAGAGACATGTTCTGTCACATTAAAAAAGTTGTTTTTTAAAAAATCATGGTTTATCTACTTTCACGGGATCCATCACTCCTATCCCAGAGAGTGTGGAGAACTGGCTGTATATAATTAATCAACATTTAATATAAGTAGATGATTGCGTTCTTAAGACATGGCTAATGTTGCGTGTAGTTTGGCTCTCCATCTCAGGTTTCTCAGAAGCAATTCTTTCTTTGTAATGGGAGAAAACTTGTTGCAACCTTTTGTAATCACTGTATTACTATTTCGTGGTAATTAGGAAGTTGTACTGACATATCTCAACAAAAAGGCCTCTATTGTCCTGGTCTCTGAGCAAATGAGCCACTGAGTTGTGAAAAGATGGAATGTTGCCTGTTGTCACAGAGGAGATGAGGACTAGGAGGACAGAATACTTAGCATGGATGTCTTTACTTTGTCTGTTGTGAACTACAGTAGAAACTAAACCCTTGGTGAATTGTGGAGGTGGCAAATGGGGCCCATTGCAGTCTTGGTGTAATTACAGTGAAGTCACTGATGTGGCTTAAGTTAATTAATTTAACACTGAATGTCTCCTCACACACAAAGCAAGCATTGAGGATGGCTGTAAGCATGGACAACTCATTGACTGGGAGGGTGGGATATGTGCTTCGATGTTTTCAAGGGACACTATTGTTCCTTATTTGTCCCCTGAGTTGGTACTGGATATAAGAATCTGTGGGGTAAATAATAATAATAATAATAATAATAATAATAATACTTTATTTATATACCACTCTATCTCCCCTAGGGGACTCAGGGCGGTTTCCAAATACAAAAACATACAAAGTAAGCAAAACATAGGCATAAAATTATCAACATAACACATATACGTTAAAACCAATCCCAACTCATTCTTTTGTGCCAAGATTAACTGTTAGGGCCAGAATTTCAGAAAGGCCTAGGAAATTTGAGATGGCCGGGGCTAGTGCAAAGTAAGACATAGGGGGTCAGGAGAATGGGTAAAATGCAATAACCAGACCCAGCAAAAGTAATAGTGGGGCCTATGGCTGCTCATTTCCTGAACCTATTGGGGGAACTGACCAGAGTAATAGGTGGGGGTAAAGAGCCAGGTTCTAACTAGTGTAAACTAAGAAATGATACTAAAATTGATTCATGCATTACTAGAGAAGAACCTAGTGAGGGTCAAAATGTCTTTTAGTTTATCCGTAGAAGGTACCATGACCTGACCCATTTGAATACCTTCCAAACTACATTGAAACCATGTCTTCAAAAACAGGACTCTGTTGTTGCTGCTGCCACATTCAAAGATGAAATATTAGTGTATGTCAATGTGGAAATAGAAAAAAAGCACCTCCACTCAAAATAGCAGGGCAGCAAGTTTGATGTCTCCCCACAAGCAAATTCTAGATGGCCCCCTGAGCTGCTTCTTCAGATTCCTTGTTACTGCAGTCACTGGAGTGCATGAAAAAAAGGGAGTGATATACATATTACCTTGTGTTAATTTTATGTCTCAAGCACTCACCAGCTGTCAACAGTAAGACTGTAAAGTTACACCCTTTGGTGAATAATTTTTGTGGCAAACAACTATCAGGATACACTTAGAAAAATTAAAGAGAATGATCACAGCCTTGGATTTCATAACACTCATTAATACCTTTGCTTTTGCATGCAAGCAAGGGATGCTCTGCTCTCCTCTCTGTGTCAAAATGTGATTACCTCAAGATAAGAATGGGTGAATGATTTGCTGTAGATCAGTAAAGGCTTTCACCTCTGAATACTTGGACAACAGCAATAATGTAACGAACCACTTCTCCACATTAAGTGAAATCCACCAAGGAATTCACTGCTGCTGGATTTTTCTTATTCCAATGGGATAGCGCCCATGCGAAGCAAGGTTGCCTCATCTGAATGAATGTGAAGGATCCACTGCCTTCAACATTTATAGATATATTTACCTTTATGTCTGTGAATAATATGCTTGTAGGTAAATATATGCCAGGGTGAGGTCCAATTTGGAGAAAAGAAAGCCACAACCAAGATAAGCACCAGGGATCAACCATTCGTAATTCATGCCTTAATAGCAATTTATTTAGGTTGCTATATTCTCAATTATATGTATCCTATTTCCTTTTAAATTGAAGTAATTGCATTTGTATTTTGAAATTATTTTAATCACTTTTAACTTTGTGTCTATTGAAAAAATATTTCCAACTATTATGCAAATATGTGCCTTCTGTGATGCATACATGGGCATCCAGTTCCTGGAAATCTCAACAAACCTGCGTTTGAAAAGACTCTAATTATGTGGGAAGTAAGTACCTTGATATAAGAAATGAAGAGCAACACTCCAAAGTTGCACTAGGCATAAAATCAATAGGAGGGTTACTCCCTTTTAATGCCTGAACTCCTCCCACCCCCTACAATAGAAAGGGCACCAATTCTAGATTCTTTTTGAGTGCCTGAGCTGTGTGGGAATACAATCACTTGGTTTAGACCCAAGACTCTGAGAAATAGATTCTTAAGATTCTGGGATTGATGAAATAGAGGACTAACTGATAAACCAGTTGTATTCATTCTTGGAGGAAATGTCACTTTTGATGCGTATCCCAGGCCATAAGGAGGCATGGGCAAACTTCGGCTCTCTGGGTGCTTTGGACTTCAAGTCCCAGAAACCCCAGCCAGCTTACTCACTGTTAGGAATTGTGAGAGTTGAAGTCCAAAACACCTGGAGAGCTGAAGTTTGCCTATGACTGAGCTAGACCCAGAAGGTAGTATCTTTTGGAGAAAAAGAGAAATCTAGCAGAAAGGGAGAAGATAAGTATTCTCCTCTCCAAAATCTCATCCCAGAGGACAAAACATCTAAAGACACCAGTAGCTGAAGATAAATTCATGATCTGAATCTCAGTGTTGTGACATGAGAAGAACAAGAGAAGCAGAAATAACTCCATGTTGTTCCTTTCCCCCTTCCATCTATAAGCTCAGGGTATCTGGTTTAGTTCTATTCAGGCATCTCCTGCTATTCCTCCACACATCACTTTTGTATCTTCTGATCCGTCATCCTTGTTGTGCTGAAATCTCAAGCAACCCCTCCATGTACTTTTCCTGCATGGCAGAGGGTTGGACTAGATGGCCCATGATTCTGTGATTCTAAAAACCCTTTATGATGCAAGCTCTCTGATATTTTTCATACCCCTACCCCAAATAAATGTTTTCTGTGAGGCTTTTGCCATAACCCCTTTATTCTCATGTTCCATACTAATTAAAGTATGTGTTAATAAAACTGCAGATATTTTCAACTGTTTAACCCAGCCTATATATCTATCATACTTCTCTGGTGTCTCTCATGGAGGCTTTTGATATATGGTGAAGCACAATTCACGTTTCTGGCATCATTGTCATCATCATCCTTCTATACCTTTGTTGGGAACACTGTAGCACTGCCAAGTTTAAGGTACTATGATTTTATTGTGTCACTGCTCATGAGGAATTGTTTCCAGGAGCTCAAATTTCAGCCTAATTTATTTGGAGTGTCACCACTCCCAAAATGAAAGACAAAAGAAGGAGGCTGCTATGGAGCTTAGGGTGGATAAGGGTGAAGGATGGCTGGGCATGAAAGATTCAGGTGTGGTCTCTTGCTTGCATGTACATCTTCCTAGCAACACAGACAATTGGCCACAGCAAGATGGGTGCTAGAAAGAAAAAGTTACATGCTGAAGAGATCTGCTGAACTTGTTGGTCAACATTCTAGACCAGCACCCAACCCACCCTCCACAAACAGCTATATAAGTAAGATGATTCCTATCCGTGATCATTAGTTATCTGTCAACAGCTTTCAATCACGGTCGTGTCCCATTTCTGGAAAACTATAAAGTCTTCCTCTTTGGTAAATTGTTTCTCCTGGTACAAGCAGAAACCATCATGTTGGAGTGGCAAATAGTCAAACAACAAGGTCTGGTGGTCACCAGTAAAGCCCGCCTGCTCATGCTTCTCTTGGCATTGATGGGTAAGAAAATCAGCTGTTTTAGTTTATTTATTTTTTCTTAATACTAAATCTGTCATGGTAAATAAAAAAAAAGTCAGCAAGTTTTCGGAATTGTACGTAGACTGAGATGAACAATATTCCTGATAGTTCAAGCACAGAAAATGTATGTTGTGTGGTAAGGTTTATTGGTTAAGAATTTACAAGTCTATGTTCAGTTCCAGGTAATCTAAACAAAAATCTATTTCAGTCCATGCCTTAGTTTATTTAATCCCTAGTCCAAGGCTAGGACTGTCTTTCAATCTGTTATTCTTTAAGCTCCTTTCAATAGATTTCTTTCTAGCGTTTCCTTCTCATTCATCAGTCTTATATTTACAGAAGAAGGAAAATATGCATTTGGCTAGGTCATTTTATAAACATTACATTTTGCAGAACGCATATGTTATCAGTATATTTGGCATGCATCTGATTCCGATTCCCAGATCTGATTCTAGGCAGATGTTGTGCAGTCCATGGCCATCTATGGAGAAGTAGGACATAAAACTGAATTTTGCTAGCACTTCCCTCAAATTTGGAAATAACCTTTGTCCTGCATCCAACAAAAGTGGAAAAGCTGTTTTTTAAGCATCACTGATGAAAATGCATCAAGATGCATCTCTGTTGGTATATTTTATTATACCTTTAAACTGTTTGATCTCTCCTTAGAGTAACTGGTGTTGATTTGCAATACAGTAAAAGCCAAGTGTTTGGTAGCTTTAACATAGTGAAGTACGAAAAAATAATTTCTTGTCTAGCAAAATAGTCAATGGAAGTTTGAAATGTTTTATCAATTCTATGTTAAGCTTGCTGCTATTATTATGTATTTTGCACTTTCACCAGATCTATTGTATCCTTTCTTCTTTTCTTTTTCGTTTTATCTCATTGATCTTTCCAAGATCTTCACCACTCAGAGCCTTTGACTGAGGTTGTCCACTGATTATATAATATTAAGCTGTTTTGTTTCTTTGTGAGGTTAAATGTCCCACAAGACATCATTGGCAATGTTTAGAGATGGCTTCTCTTCCTTCGGCCTCATGAGAAAAGTATGTCTATGTGTGGAAGAGAATGAGTCTGTGACGGAACTGGGAATGAATCTATACTACCCAGTTTAACTGCCTCAGTTTCCACCTTGAGAACCATGGGATTTGTACTTTGTTGAGAGGTACTCAAAACTGTTTGCTAGACATTGCTAATTCACCCCTCTGTAGTGTAGTGCCCAATGTAGTTTAATTTAAGTTTAAACTTCAAAGTGTCTTTTCTTGGGAATTCTAGCTCGAGGGAGGAGACTAGAGAGCTCTAGCAGTGAATTTTGAGAACGTATTAAAACTTCAAGCCACATGCTTTGTTAAATTGGAACCATTGCAGTCATAGAACTATCAAATTGATAGAAGTGAACGGTGTGATGAAATGGAAGACTGATCGTTGACCATGTTGAAGAGAAGCAAGAAATTGTTGGGTTTTCTGCATGAAATGCTATGGCAGTGTGGGTTGCCCTAGAAATCAGAGGGAACAGGAAACTGTAAATCAGGGGTCCTCAAACCCCTGATACGGCCCTCCAAGGTCATTTACCTGGCCCTTGCTCAGGGTCAACCTAAGTCTGAAATGAGTTGAAAGCAAACAACAACAACAACAATCCTATCTCATCAGCCAAAAGCAGGCCCACACTTCCCATTGAAATACTTCGGGGCTGAGAGCGGCGGTTAACAAATGCAAGAAATAAATAAATAAATAAATAAATAAATAATAAGTTTATATTTGTTAAAATTGTTCTTCATTTTAATTACTGTATTGTTTTAAGTGTTTTTTGCACTACAAATAAGATATGTGCAGTGTGCAAGTTTTTTTCCAATTATAATCCAGTCCTCCAACAGTTTGAGGGACTGTGACCTGGCCCTCTGTTTAAAAAGTTTGAGGACCCCTGCTGTAAATGCTGTGAACTCTACTATTATCAAACAACATTAGTCATATGTCCAACCTTTTCCTAGGGAAATAAAATTCTGGCTAAGTTCTGAAAACACCACATAGAAGTGGGGCACACATCCATAACTTATAAGACCTGTTATTTAACTCCTGTCAAGCAGCCTAAACAACTTCATTGTTCAAGAAGTATGCATGTATTGTAGTGTAAAAGCACCTGCCCTATTTCAGCTTGACTTGTTGAGCAAAACAATGGAATGTCATAATGGATGCTACAGAGGGAATTCACCAGAATTTAAAATGCCAGCTCAGATTTTCCACAGAATATGGCACGGAAAACAGAACTGGGGGGTGGGAGGCATAAAATATCTCTAGCAAATCATATGTATCTTTCATTTTGATCCAAAATGCAGTCTTTTCTGAAACTAGAAGTATCCAAATAACCTCACCAGCATGTGAAAAGTATAACATTCCGATGACAGGAATGTGATTCTTTGCTAAATTTCTTCTCAGGGATAGGCATGAGTAATTCCAGGATTTTTTTTCCTGCTGAAATAAAGTTTTTCAAAATTATGAAGTTTTTCAAGGCTATTCAGATTTTTTGACTTATTCTGTACAGAATTCACCCATGGTTGTTTTGCACAGGAAACTGCATTTTCTGTGTAGGAAATAATATTGATTCCTCAACAGAAAATGTTATTTTGTGTATAGAAAAAAGAGCTATGATTGGGACTTGTTCTGCACAAAATTAATACATGAGTGATTTACATCAAAAACAATGTTTTCAATACAAGAAACAACTTTTTTGAATGGAAAATGATGCTTCAATACAGATATGTTAATTTCTGCAAAGATAATGTTGTTTTCTACCATGTGCAAAATCAACCATATGCAATTGTTTACTATTGAGTTAAACAACATCTTATGTGAAGGAATTAACATTTCGGCAATGAGATGTTATTTTCCATGAAGAAAATTATGCTTATTGTGCAAACAATAATAATAATATTTTTACGAACAAAGCAACTACATATGAATTTTATGCAGAACACTTCCCAAACTTAAAAGTCAGTAATCAGTTTTTCAACACTTAAAACGTAATTGCTTTTGTAATTATTTTTAGATATTTATTTATTTATTTTACAATTTGTTTGCATTATGTTTTGCCTCTTTCTCATAAAATTGACCAACCATAAAAGCCAATATAAATTAAATTACAAAATAAAAGAATGAATTAAAACTATCTAAATACCAAAAGATAGAATGACAATTGAAACTAATTCACACAGGGTAGAGAAACTGCAATTCAGACTGCCTAAAAATAGAATGACAATTGAAACATATTCACACAGGGTACAGAATCTGCAACTCAAAAGTGGCATTTAAAATTAATGCAGTTTCACAGAATTGTTAGAGATGGTCTAGGTATTGAATCAGATTACTGGAAAGTTGAGCAGTAGGTCTGAAATTTTCTATTAATGTATTATTTTTAAAATCTAATGATTTTTTTTAAAAGAGGGGGGAACTATACTAACCCAGTCCAAAGCCTGTTCTACAATATTAAATCCCCACTTCCAATATTTTAATTTCCTGACTGCTTTTAAACACCCTTTTCTACTATCTGTGTGAATCCCAACATGGGGTTCCCCCCTTTAACTTCTCATTCTAAAACATTTCCGTGAACATCCTTCACAAATTTCAACCAGCTGTGTCTTAAAACTCCATATTACCTCATCGCTACAAATTCTACCAGATGGTTCCAATTCCGAAATCACAACAGAGGTCGTTTGTCTTTCTGCCTGAGCGAAAAGCTGTGCCAAATATTTATTATTTTGGTTCTCCTCCAGTTTTGCCATTTCCCCTCCAGAATTCCCTTATAAGCAGACCCCCCATATTCCACGAAGGGTCCTTTATACCCGAGGATATCTTTCCACTTTGGATTCATTTGAATAACCCCCCTCCACATATGCTTTCCCCTCCTTCCGCGGGTTGTTTTAAAATATCCTTGACTGTATGTTAATTCATCACCCCTTCAAGTCTATATTCTCTTTACAAGCTCTTTCCTTACTTTACCTCAGCTTGGCCAATGTTCTCAGCAGACAGTTTTTTAACACTCCTTCAGGACATATTTTCAGAAACATTGCTTGTTTCTTCTTCTCGCAGACATTAAATCATCCTGCCTTCAAGTCTTATTACAGTGGGTTTTGGTTTTTTTCCCCTAATTGCCTCCAAGTTATTTTTCTTGCCTCACCCTTTGATCTCTACTGATTACTTCCATGTGGTTTTGTAAAGGTTCCAGTTCTCTTGACTAGCTTTGTTTGCTTTCAGCTCACTTATATCTTCATTGTGGTTGGTTGTTCTGGTAAGAACTTAGCATTTAAGCTTATAAATTAAGGGCTGGCAGATTCCCTACACAGGGGAATCAAATCAACCCCAACCTACCTAAATTTGTATTGCTGCGTCTAGACTTTAAATTGCTGCTGCAATCTGGTTGCAACTGGTGCTTCTATGGTGCACAGTGGTTATCAACCTGTGGGTCCCCAGGTGTTTTGGGTTACAACTCCCAGAAATCCCAGCCAGTTTACCAGCTGTTAGGATTCCTGGGAGTTAGAGGCCAAAATATCTAGGGATCCACAGGTTGAGAACCACTGTGCTAGAGGATGCTTCATATATCAAAGAGCAATATATGGTTGCCAGATTGAAAACTGAAAAAGGTTTCCATTCATTCAATGGTTGTGTAGAAGATGGAATTTCAATGGAAGCTCCTTGTTACCAAACCAAGCAACAGCTTCTGAAACTCCCTCTTCAATGCAATCTTTTGTGGATTTGATGAATATGGTCTCCTTGTAGGAATCTCTAGATCCTCCAGTGGAGATTGACCCTAGAGTTGTACAGGAAGACCTAGAGCCCTTCCACACAATCATATAAACAGGATTATTAAGGCAGAATAACACACAATATCTGCTTTGAACTGATCTACTGAAGTCCACACTGCCATATATCCCAATTCAAAGCAGATAATGTGGGATTTTATTCAGCTATGTGGAAGGGGCCCTAGAGATTCCTAG